GTGCCCGGGGAGGATGGCGGGGCTGGGCTTGGGGAGGTATCGGGGCCAGCTCTGGGGGGACGGGCCGGCTGTGAGGGAATCGGGGCCAGCCCGGGCGGGGGAGGGATCGGGGCAGCCCCGCCGGGAGCCGCTATCGGGGGCAGCGGGCGGGAGGAGCCGGCTGCCGTGTGCCGCGGCGGGCGGGACCCCAGCCCCGCGGCTGCCGGCTCCGGCCGTGCCCAGGGCTCTCGGGAATTGCCTCTCCTTCCCGGCTCGGCCCTGGGGTCACGGCTGGCAGCGCTCGGGGGACGCAGGGGGCACAGGGTGACACAGCGGCCCCGCTCCCGCCGGGGAGGTTCGTGGCTCCGGGGGGTTTGAGGGTGAACCTCTGTGACTGTGTGCTTCGGGTACCGGAGATGTGTGTGTTGCCCTCGATAGACAGCATCTGGATGTTGTAGTTTTGTTTCCCCTTTTGATTTCCCCTTCTAATTTCTGCTCTCAGCGTTTTGTAACTCTCTCAAGAAACTCCTTTGTGGCACCTGTGATAAAGAGAGCAGTGGGTTAGAAATTAAGCAATTGGTGGATTGATTTATCTGCATTTCGGTGTTATTCTGGGCTAATTAATATTTTTGCTGCTGTCTGCAGTCCAGTTCTTCTGTGTGAGGCCAGTCTGAGCAGGTGACAAGGGGTGGAACGGGCTGGTGTCCTAAGCACGGGTGTTTCTGTGCTTTCTGCCTTCTTGAGCCATCTGATCTTCTGTTCCTGAGCAGACACGCTTCACTTCTGGACGTGGTTGTACCAAAATCAATATTTGTCTGCTGTGGGTTTTGCATAGGCAAATTAAGGCTCCTGCCCACCTGCTGAGGCAGCACAGGGCTGTGTAAACAGGCTGGGGGAGCCCTGAGGGGAATTGCTCCCACATCTGCTGTGTCCCCACCTCCAGGATGGGGGGGACATGGGGCAGCAGAAGCCCCTGTATAGCCAGAAGTCCCCATGAGCCTCTTGGAATAATCTGGGAGGGGGATAACCCTTGTAACTTCACTGTCCCCTGCTCCTTTTCTCAGGGCACTGCTGCCATACTGGTTGTGGGTGGCTTTTGGAGTTATTTTTTGGCTGGTTGTGTCACTGCAGGGACAGTGTCCCACCCTGTGAGGGCTGGTGGTGCATCAGGGGAAGGAAGCACCGCCAAAGCCAGGCTGTGTCAGCTCTGGGTTTGTAGTGCTGAGCTGATTGTTTTGGAGTGGCTGCTGCTGCCTTGGGCTCTCTGGGAAGTTCCTGGTAAGAGCTGGGCATCTGGAAGAGGCTCAAACCCAGCCTTTTGTCTTGAAACCAGTGCAGAGCCACCACTTTCTCTTTAAATTCAACTGAAGAGATCATGAGAAGGATGTTTGCCTGTGTTGGGAGCAGCAGAGGCTGAGATGATTCTCTGCTGAGCTGGGTGATTTCAAACCCAGATCTCTGGGATCCCTGCAGGGGTCTCATTCCTTTTAGGCTCTTCTGAAAGGTCTGGGGTCTGCTGGCTCAGGGTGGGTTCTGAAAGCCTGGTAGGCTGATGGTCCTCCCCAGAGGCTCAGCTTGAACTGCTGTCAGGATTGTGTGTTATGCCCAGGTTCCTCATTCCTCTTGTGTTCCCATCATTAAATCCCTGTTGATGAGGGAGTGCGGACAGTTCTGCTCTGTGCTGGGATCCTGCCCCTCTGTTTGCTCTTGGCAGAGTGCTCTGGGTGAAACCCTGGAGTACAGGATTGTGTGGAAGCTTGCCTTGCTGCATCACAGAGTCAGAGTCCTTACAGCTGGAAAATACCTCCAAGGTCATTGAGTCCATCCTGTGCCCCATCCCCACCTTGTCCCCAGCCCAGAGCTCTGAGTGCCACATCCAGCCCTTCCTTGGGCACCTCCAGGGATGGGGGCTCCAAACCTCCCTGGGCAGCCCCTGCCACAGCCTGACCACCCTTTCCATGGAGAAATTCCTCCTGATGTCCAACCCAAACCTCTCCTGGCACAACTTGAGGCCATTTCCTCTTGTCCTGTCACGTGTTCCCTGGGAGCAGAGTCATCAAATCAGAATGAAGATACAGAGGCAGTACAGGAAATATCCTAAAGCAAGGACTCAGAAACTGGGGGATCTGTTGGATGGAAAGCTTGGGTTATTGGGCTCTTCTGAGATTGGCTGGGACATCTGCAGGGCACGAGAGGAGCCAGTGTCATGTGAATCTGGTCTTGGGGACATGCTCCAGGTCACTTGGTGGGTTTATGGCAAAGCAGGAATGAATTCAGCTCTCCCATCTCCCTGTCACTGCTCTTCTTCTGGCCTGGCCTTTGCTTGTTCTCTGCCACCTTTCTGTGATAGTGGAGAAAACAGCAGGGAGAAATAACAAACTTTTAAAATTACTTGATATGGACAGAATAAAGCAGGGGACTGAGGAGCAGTGTTTGCAGTAGCAGGAATGCAGGGGATACTCAGTAAGTTTCCTGGGGATACTAAATTGGAAGGAGCTGCTGACCCCCTGGAAGGCAGAGAGGCCCCACAGAGAGTCCCTCACAAATGGGGGCTGAGCAACACCCAACCATGTGACAAGTGACAAGGGCAAGTGTTAGATCCTGCCAGAAGCTCCCTATCCTTTTACCAGGATCTGGGAAGGTCAGCACATCTCAGGAAGTGATTACTCAGTGTAAAACATGGCCATGTGTGCTTATCCTTGCTGAAAGAATTGTTCTTAATGCTGCTTTGTGGATCCAAACCACATCTTTCTATGGAAGGGGGTGCATCACCAGAATGCTGCTTTATCTGGGGGTTTTATTTATTTATTTGAGTTAAAACCTCTCCACAGCACCACAGGCCGCCTTGAGAGGAGGACACAGGAAAACCATTGTTTGGCCATTGCAGGAAATTCATTGTCTGGCTCTGTCAAGCCAGGAGTGTCCCCCTCAGTCTTTTCTTCTGATCCTTTTTCCAGTGGACAAACACCTCTCTGCAGCTGTAGGACACCAACACTGAAGTGCAGTAGCTAAGTAATCCTCTGAAGAAGAAGAAGAGGATTATTTGCAGGCTCATTCTTCAGTAAAGGATTTCTCTCTCTTAGTGCTTTAGTGTAGCTGGTGTTCATGGGCCATTTGTTCTCCCCCTGAAATTCCCAGATCTCAAATGGGAGCAGCTGCAGAAGGGTGGGGTGAAGTTTTAATGGTGTTCTTAACCATCTTCATCCTTTGTTTTCTATTCACACATTTGAAAAATGCAAAGCAAAAGGCTCCCATTTCCAAACCATCAGTTACAAAGCGGTGTTGGGCAGTGTTGGTGTTGAGGGACAGCCCTGAGGCCTCAGCTGTGGCAGGGATGGGGACAGAGCCTCCTGTCCACACGCTGGGGCTTGCTGGAGACTGGTCCAGGAAAATAATATGTTTTCCTCTGTGCAAACATATTTAAGCTTGTACATCTCTGCAGAGGAAGAGCAGGCTGCTGGTACAGTCCCAGGTGCTGCTGTCTCCACAGGCTAGGTTAGAGTAGCTCAAATGAAAAGAAAAGCAAAAGCAACTCAAGAAAACAGCTGTGCCAGTGCAAAACTCTGCAGCCTCCAGACCTTACCTGAGGACAGCACCAAGGTGCAGCAGAACCAGCTGCTGTAAGTCCTGAGGGATTTGGGTACAGTGTGGCTCTTCAGACCCCACTGCTGAGGCTGCTGGTGGTGTTTTTAGGGGCAGATTTTAGTCTAGACTGCTTTCTTTTCTGTCATAATCCACAGTGCTGGTTTGCAGGGTTGGTTTGTGTGTTCTGTGTTTCCGTTCTGGGATTTGCAGGTAGGGACACATGGTGTTTTTGTCCTTAAGGAAGAAGGGGTGGAATTAAAACTCAGCAAAGACCTCTCTGTGTATTTCATCTGTGGGATCAGCTCTGCCAAAATCAGCAACACGGCTGATGCTGGGTAAACTTCCCAGGATTTGCTTCTGCCAGAGCTACAGCCACACTCAGTGGTGGTAACAGGAAGAATGAATCTGCATTTGTGCAGAATTTCTAAAATAACAAGGGGTGTTTGGTTTGGTACCAGCTGATTGTTTTTTGTTAAGCAGGAGTTTAGTGCTCAGCTAACAGGGATTATCTGTTTGTTCCAGGAGCTGGGAAGCACCACAGAGAGCCAGGAGCCAACAAATCATCTCAACACCTCAATGAGGCATTAAGTCTGGTGAGCTCTACACATTTCTCTTCCAAAGTATGAGCTCTGCTGGGTCCCACCCTGACCTGTGTGGCTGCCCCTGGGAGCTGCAGGTGTTCTGGCCGGGGCTCCCTGAGCATCCTCAGCCTTTGCCAGGGGCACTTTTGTTTGCTGCTGGATGATACAAACCTTCCAAGTGGCTGAATGAGATGCTGCCAGAGCTTCCTGTGCACAAGGAGAAATCAGGATCCTGTTTGGGGGGCTCCAGCCTTCCTCCTTTGGGTGATGGACATGAGTAGTTTGTACTGGATACCCTGGGCTCGTGTTTGTCACACACTGGGAACATTCCCAGTTCCAGGAGGTTTTCTGGATGCTGCTTAGTGGCATGTGCTGACCTGATTTTCTTTCTCCAATAGATCTATTGCTCTGTCTGAAACCTCACCAGGGAACACAAGTATTAGAAATGGCAGGTAAGAGCACCTTGGGTACAGCCAGTAGGGAGAGTGGTTTCAGGGAGTTGTTCATGATGCTGTAACATGTCAGGAATGTGACCTGTGTCCCTCTCCAAGATCTTGGTGATCCCTAAAGCTCTTCAGCTACTTCTTGTGGCTTGGTCACATTCACTTTCCTGCTGTGTCCTGATCTGTCACCTGAGGTTTGTGCTCAGGTGATAAAGGTTCAGGTGTGACTTGCTTGAAAGTTTTATGAGAGTAGAATTTATTCAGAAACAATGTACATGAGAATAATTCCTTCTTTCCAGAGGCTTTCCACAGTGTTCCTAGCTGTGCTATTGACATTAATCCATCTGAATTATACTTGTAGTGAAACTAGTAACAAAATTCCAACCTTTTTTAAAATAAGAGGAAGTCTGGAATTTGCCTCCAGCTGCTGCTCATGGGTGACGCAGTTTGGTTTTTGAAAGCATGGGGTGCATTTGCTGATCAGATGTGTTGAGGAGAGAACTGTAGCACTCCAAGCTCTGCAGTCAGACATAAAAGGGGATATTTTCATGTAATTTATTTTGTCTAATCTCAGAAGTAACCCAGAACAGCTGGCAACTGCAGGGTCTCTGGGTGGGAGGAGGTGGGCAGCAGCTGGGCAGCAGCAGAGAAGAGGTGTAATCCCCAGCTTTGTGTACCTAGCAAACAATCCTGGGGATGTTTGGACCATTTTATGAGCTTGAAAAATTACAAACTGCAGTGGCTGCTTGGTTTTGGCCCCACCACATGGGAGCTCTGCACTGGGAGCTGGCAGCAGCTCTGTCCATGACAGAAAATGGGAGAGAGCAGAACCAAAGGAACAATCTGCAGCTTCAGCTGTTGAAGAGGGACAGAACAAAAGTTTCCTCATCCCTCAGAAAAAAAAAAAATTGTTAGAGAATCGGCTTTTACTGTGATTGATTAATCTTGGTCTTCCTGGCTTCCCTAGAGACCTGTCCTTTCAGCTTTAAAAGCTGTGTCCCCTCCCCTTCCCTTGATCCAGCATTGTTAAATCCCTTTCTAGGCTGCAGGGACACACTGTGCAGGAGAAATCCCATTAGGTGTTTACAGCAAACAAAAAATTAATGCAGAGGAGTCCAAATTCCTGTGGACTTTGAAAGCATCCGTGGGCCATCAGCTCTCCACGGGATGGAGTCAGCAGTGGTGTTAACCAGTAACTCAAACCAGCCTGGAGAGCATCTGAATGAATGTAAAGTGGGTTTAAGGGAGAGGGGTGAGGAGGGGCTTGATGTTTGTTTTTATCAGGAGAAGTCAAATTGGGCTGGTGACTTCAGACATTTTTCCATAGCTCCTTCTGATGTATTCCCAGTGGGCGTTCTCACCGTATTTTCTGTGTGAAAATATGCATGAGGGAAAGCCTTTTTCCTTCCTCAAGCCTGGCTGCAGCTCCAGGCTCTTCCCTGCCAACCTTCAAACGGAGCTGAGGAGCTGCTCCTGCAAAATGTCTCCTCAGCCGGAGATAATGGGAAGGGAAGGGGAACTCTTGTGCTGACAGTTCTTGTTCAGACATTTCCTCTTGTCTCCTGTGCCATTTGGAGGTTTTCCCAGGACATTCTTCATCTCTTCCTCTGGTTGTTTTTAATTCTGTTTACTGGGGCTGAAGGAGGCTAGAGACAATTAGTCACAATGCCCTGGAATCAAACTTTAATCAGCTCTGGAAGGCAAGAGCAAACATTCCCAAACATGTAGGAGCACACATCCAGGCACACACACAAATCTGGGAGCTGACAGCAGCTGAGGATTTAGGCATTTCATTACTTGATTTTAAAACAGAAATTCTTCCCAAGGTAGAGTTTTCTTCACCATATAGCTTTTGGCAGCATTTGCTGATTTATTGTCTCTGAATGCAAAGCTTTTTCTTTTTTTCTTTGCCTTTTTTTTTTTTCCCTATGCCTTAACCTTGCAGGAAAAACTTGAATGTACCATTTTTCCATTAAAAATCTTGTATGTTTTCAAAACAAGATCATCCCTGACACAGAATCATGGAATCACAAAATGGTTTGGGTTGGAGGGGACCTCAAAGCCCATCCAGTGCCACCCCTGCCATGGCAGGGACACCTCCCACTGTCCCAGGCTGCTCCCAGGCCTGTCCAGCCTGGCCTTGGGCACTGCCAGGGATCCAGGGGCAGCCACAGCTGCTCTGGGCACCCTGTGCCAGGGACAGGAATTCCTTCCCAATTCTGACTTATTCCATGAACTGTATGATACCTGGGTACACAATTCCTTATTGTCCCAGGCTACAACAGATCCTGAAGCCTGACCCATGGCCAGAACATGCTCCTGCCTACCCAGAGCTGGTGGCTGAAGGTAAATCTGCTTGTCTGGACACTCCCCAGCCTTTCTTTCCTCTTGCTGTGGATTTTTGAAGGGTTGTAATTGAACACCTCTGTGCAGCTGTTTACCCCAGATGTTGCTGACACTTCCCCCTTCCTGAGGCAGCTCATCATGGAGCTTTAAAGTGGTTTCTTTCCTTGCAACACCTTTCACACAACTTCACACTGATGTGTAAAGGTGTTAAATCCACATGATGTTTATTAGCTTGTTCCTGTTCCCCTCTCTCAGCCTTGTGTGTAGTAGAACAAATGTCCTGTCCGCTGCTGAGAAAGAAAACCAATATATTTGTGGTCTGGGGAGAGGATGAACATGCAGCACTGCTGGGAAGGTGTGGAGGATAGTAGACATTTCTGCTCCCAGCTGAAATGTGTGTTCTGTGTTCCAGAAAAGGTGAATAACTTCCCACCGCTCCCCAAGTTCATCCCTCTGAAACCATGTTTCTACCAGAATTTTGCTGATGAAATCCCCATCGATTACCAGTTCCTGGTGAAGAGAATCTATCATGTGTGGATCTGTAAGTTGAATAAAAAACACCTGTGCTGGAAAAAGGTATTTGTGTAGTAAAACTCCATAGATCTCAATGACTAATGTGCTTTAAAGTTTTGATGAGGAGCAATGATCCCCCTTAGAATACTCTAATATAACTTAATACCTGAATTTTAAGCTGCCTTGAATCCTTGAGAGATCTTGAAGAAAGGAGGTTATCAGTGCTGGAAAAGTCTATTAGTAAATCTGAGGGACAAAGCAGACCATGTTTGATACCTTTATTAATGTCAAATGGTCATAGAATTCCAGACTGGTTTGGGTGGGAAGGGACCTTAAAGCCCATCCAGTCTCACCTCTGCCATGGCCAGGAACACCTTCACTATCCCAGGTTGCTCCAAGCCCTGTCCAGCCTGGCCTTGGGCACTGCCAGGGATCCAGGGGCAGCCACAGCTGCTCTGGGCACCCTGTGCCAGGGCCTGCCCACCCTGCCAGGGAACAATTCCTGCCCAAGATCCCATCCAGCCCTGCCCTCTGGCAGTGGCAGCCATTCCCCTGTGTCCTGTCCCTCCATCCCTTGTCCCAAATCCCTCTCCAGCCTTTTTTAAACCCTATTTAACTCCCAAAAAAAGCTACCTTAAAGAAATTCCCCATTCCCCTAAAGGAAGAGGAATAGGAGAATTTCAGACAAAATAAATGTGGCCCATTTGCTGCTACCTGGCTCCCCACCTTGTTCTAGAAAGGCCAAAATTCCCTCTTATTCCCACATTTCCCTTCCCAATGGAAACACTATCTTCTAGCTGCATGCTGGCTCTTTAACTCTCCAGAGCCCCCCAAACGTCCTGCTGGAGTTGGGAACTGATCCTGTGACAGCTGGTGATGTGCTGATACTCTGTGTGAACAGAGCTCCTGGCCCTGGGCTCCTGTTGTTTGCCTCAGCCATTGAGGACCCAGGAATGAAAATTGACCATTCTCCTGCAAGGAATGAAATCGGTGTGGCAGTCCTAGGAAACCACAGGGAATGCTTTGCAAGATTAAGAATCTTTTTGCCTTGCTTATCTTTTTTTTCCCCCAAATGCTTGTCATCCTCTTTACCCTTCTCACTGAAGGCAAGCTTGTTTTCTGCCAGCTCTGCATTTGGTGGCATGGCTTTTATTCCAGATGCACGGGATGTGTGTAGGAGAGAGATTTGTGTGCATAAATAATGGCATAATCCATGGCTCCATTGTTCTTTGGTTATGTGGAGCTGCTGCAATGAGCTCTGTAATTTTCTTGCCTGAAGAAGCTGCCTGTCCCTCCAGACTCACTGGTGCGATGTTGAAGCTGTAAAGCCGCCTTTGTCCTCCCCTCTCCCAAAACAAAGAGTCCCTCAGTCGAGTTAATGGCAGGCTGGAGGAGAGCCAGGGATTTGGGCATGGCCAGGAGAGCTGCCATCTGCACCAGGAGTTTCACATTTCCATCTCCTGCACTCAGGAGTTTCACATTTCCATCTGCAGTGCACTTCCTTTGGGAGTCTCCCTGATTTTTTGGTGTGGGTTGGAGAGAGATGTGTAAAGGGAAGAAGGTAAACAAGGAAAGGGCAGTTTTGAAAAGTAGAAACACACAAGTCGTTGCTGGAAGGGTGATTGCTCATTACTTTAATTGGATGTGAGCACTGGATTAAGGTGGAGGGAGGTTTGGGGAAGGTTGTACCAGAGCTCCCACTGCTGGAGAGCAAACTCCAGCCTGAGGCACAGGGAGAGCCAAAAGTTCCTTAGAACTCTGCAGATGCCCCTGGCTTGGTGTTGTTTTGTTGGGTATTTAAAAATAAGTAATTTTGGAGAATAAATAGCTTCTGAAAATGAATATTTGGAGAAGTACAACTAATTGGTGTGTAAAGGAAATATCACAGATTCATGGAATCCCTGAATGGTTTGGGTTGGAATTACCTTAAAGCCCATCCAGTGCCACCCCCTGCCATGGGCAAGGACACCTTCCACTATCCCAGGGTGTTCCAAGCCCTGTCCAGCCTGGCCTGGGACACTTCCAGGGATGGGGAATCTACAAACTGTTAGTTTAAATACATAGAATTAATTAATTTAAAGAACTCATATTCTTCCCCCCAGCATTAACACACATCCAAACCATTGTGTACAAAGCTTTGTTGGCTACTCAGAAGACATGTTCTTTGCAGTAAAATAATGTTTTATTTTACTCTCAGGCCACGTGTAAGTCAGAAGTAGCAGCTGGCTATAGGTTTTGTTCCCCTGACTGTGTTGTCAGTATGATTTTGTGACCATAAAACCTTGCAGTTGTTTAGGACCCCCAAGCTGTGTGAAGGCAGGTGGGTCAGTGCCCAGGAGGACCAAGGCAGTGATGAGCAGATGAGCTGCAGAGCCATGGCAGGGAGTGGAGTGGGGCATGGGCAGGGTTCCCTTGGCACAGGTGAAGAGAAATTCAGGGTTTAATTTTGCCTGAATAACTGAGGCCAAGGTCCAGAGTGTCACCATGAGTTTATCACCAGGCTGTGCTGGAGGGCCTTTGGTGTTTGGACCTTCCACCTTCTCCTTTCTGTGTGCTTGTTGATACAGGTTACCACAAAGGGTTTGAAGAGTCACCAGCAGTTTTCCAAAACAGGAGCTTGTAAATTGGCCTCTTTGAGCCTGGCAGTGCCTGGGCGGATGCAGGGACAGCTGTGGGGAGCCCCTGGCTTGGGGCTGAACCCCCTTTCCAGGGGTGTGGGCTCCAGGAAAATGGGGAGCAGCAGCCCTTCACATAGTACTACTTAGTGCAGCACTGCTGTGCCCTGGGGGCCTTTGTCAACTGTTCCTTTTTATCCAAGTGACAGGAACGGGGATGTGAAAAGGCCTCTAAGCCACCCCTGTGGTCCCATATTCTCAGCTTGATTGGAGTTTGTTTATCCCCTTGCTCAAGGCAGCACTGCCAAGGCCCCAGGCTGATATCCAGGCTTCCTCAGAGGCCCAGGGAAGCAGAGAGAGAGCCTGCAAGGCACTGAGCTGGCACAGAGATGGCTCCTGAGGCAGCCCCAGACAGCACAGTCAGTCAGAGGCAGGGGCAGGGCTAGGGTACCCCCCTCTCCTCTCACAAAGGGGTTTTACTATAAATGGAATAATTAGACCTTGCTCATAATTCATAATAACACTGGCTTGAGTGTTCTATTGGTCACATCAGTTGCTACCTAAGCTCTCCATGGTTTGACAGGTCATAAAAGTGTTCCCTCATCCCTGTGCTGCAGAATCCCTCTGGAGCTGGATGTTCCTGTGCTCCCAGCTCCAGGTCACACAGGAGCCTGTGCCTCGCTCAGAGCAGCTGCACTGCTGCCCCAGGGGCCCTTCCCACTGCAAACCTGGGGGATTCAGAGTCCTGAGGTATCCTGAGTTAGGAGGGATCCACAGGGACCATCAGTCCAGCTCCTGGTATTAAACAGGAGACCCCAACAAGCCCACCCTGAGCACCCCTGGCAGCGCTGTCCAAACGTTCCTGGAGCTCTGGCAGCCTTGGGGCCGGGACCATTCCCTGGGCAGCCTGGGCAGTGCCAGCACCCTCGGGGCCAAGAACCTTTCCCTGAGCTCCATCCCAACCCTCTCACACAGCCCCAGCCATTATCTTTTGTTTCCTTTTCTCCCGAAGTCCTGGAAGTGCCCCACCCCACGTTCTCTCCTGTGCCCTCTCCCCAGTTTACTGCATCACGCTGGCCGTGAACCTCATCGCCTGCCTGGCCTGGTGGATCGGGGGAGGCTACGGGGCCAACTTCGGCCTGGCCATCCTCTGGCTGATCCTCTTCAGCCCCTGTGGCTACGTCTGCTGGTTCCGACCTGCCTACAAAGCCTTTCGGTGAGTGCCAGCCCAGGAGGTGCTTCTGGTGCAGTTCCCTCTGGAAGTTTCCTCAGTTGTTACTGGGGAGAGCTGCTGGGGGAGATCTCTCTGGCTGGGATGAAGTAAACAATGTCCTGTTTACTTTCAAAATGAAGAAGAATGTGGCTACTTCTAAATGCTAGATATAGGACTGACGGTCACATAAGATTGGAGGTGAGCAGTTTGGCACTTCTGAGAGAGTTAAATTCGTATTTTACTTAAATATCTCAAACTTAGCAGCACCCTCATCTCAGTGCAGCATTAAAATAGGTACTAATTTGGTAAAGCTTCATTGAGGCTTATTTTGATGGAAGACTATTATTAGTTTTTGAGAACTCTTCTGATTCCTGTCTCCAGCTACTTGAGAGCTTGTCTGCTTAGCTTTTTAGATAAAAGTAGTTCCCTGGAGTCAGTCCTTCTGAAACTCCACAAATATTTAAAGCCATCCTACATTTTTCCTTTAATTAATAATCATTTGCATTTGCTGTGGACCATGAGGCATCACTCAAACATTAATGTATAAAGCCTGGCAGAGCTAGGAGGGTCCTGAGCAGTTCCCAGCCTGACACAGGGAAGGGAGGGCCCTGCCCAGTGCCACCATCACACCCCACACACCAGTCAGGGGTTTGCCCTCTGGAGGTGAAGCTGTTCCTGGTAGGATACTCTGGATTTTGATTATTCACCAGACTCTGTGATGAGCTGGTTTGGACAGCAGCAAAAGCAGCTGATGGAAATGGGAGGTGACAGGTGGGTCCTGTCTAACCCATGATAAATTAATTGTTTAAATGCGCTTCTGAGCTGATGCTTTGTGTGCCCACAGCACTGGGCACTGGATGCTGGATGCTGTTAAATCACCAGTGGCATCATGGAGTACAGGGGAGGGTCATTTCTGCTGAAAAGAGAAGGGTTGGATTTGTCTCAAAGTTCCAAATGATGTGAAAATCCCAGCTCTGAACTCTTGCCCTGTGGGGCTGGAGTTTGTCCCCATCCTGAGCTCAGAAGCCCCAGGGCCTCCAAGTCCTGGAGCTCTGTTCAAAGAGGAATTTCCATTCTAAAGTCTGGGAAAAATTACTCCTCCCTGCCGACCTCCCCCGGGCTCCACAAGGGCCGTTTCTCATTATTCCTTGAACACTGTTTGGATGTGTTTATGCAATGAATGCTGAGAGGTCCCTGAGGTTACTCTGTGCAGGGACTTGCAGTTAAAAAAAGACTCAGCCCCAGGGACAGAGTGGGGAGCGCAGGGATCATCCCCTGGGACAGCAGTTGGGCTGGAAATCACTGTGGAGGGGCAGCACTGTTGGGATAACAAGTGGTGATTGCAGAGGCAAAATCAGCCCTGCTTGTCCTGGAGGAGGCCACCCTTCAGTGCTGGCACCCTGTCCTGTGACAGGGTGACATCCTGTGAGGATGCTTCTCTAAAACCTTTGTCATCCCACTGTATCCCAAATTAAATTAGCTGCAGAGCTTTGGTGCTAGGGCAAAGCTGTAGCAAATCTGCACCAGAAAGCTGGATGAGAAATCACCTTTTCTCTGTATCCCCACTAATTCCTGCAGATCCTTTCAAATGAAGACTCCTTCAGCCCCTTCAGGTTGGAGTTGCAAGAGTCTGTTTGAAGGCTCAGCCTCGAGCCTAATCCTTGTTAATTGGATTCTGACAGGCACCACTGTCAGCAGGCCCTGCCTAAAGTATTTCTTTCTCAATGCTGTACTCTGAGGTGGTATTTGAAGGGTGGGATTGTGAGGATACTCAAGGATAATAAATCTTCAAGAGCCACCATCTGTGACAGACACCCAGGCCAGCACAGGCAGCGCTGAGGAGCGTGGGTGTGACTGGAGGCTTCTCAACGTGCCTCACCTCCTTCATCTCCTCCCAAGGCATCAGGGGCTAGAATTATAAAATTAACAACCATCAGCATAATAAAAATAATTAAAATAATAAGCATTTAAATACTTTCAGGGTTTAAGCAGGAGCTGGCAGTGATTGGAGCTCTTTTAACTCCCCTTTGCACCAAACTGCCTCACAAGCATCTTTTTTGTAGGTCTGTAGATAAATCATTGGCCCTTTGAGTTCCTTAGAGTTATGGGAATCATTTGTATCATTAAAAATGATAGTTTGAGGAACTTAAGATGTGGCTGGTTTGATGGGATGAAGATGTGTTATGACAGAGCCCAGACTTGAGCAGGGCAGTGCTGGGCCCCCAGTGCACCCATGACAGAGACTGTGAATGTGTCTGGTCAACATCTTGCTTGGGGTCATTTTCATGCTAATTATGAATTATGAATAATTATTGTACCTGCATAAACTCAAGGACCTCACCTGTACATCCTGATGACGGGGAGCCTGCAGAGATGGGAAGTGTGCCTCTGCTTTCAGGGTACCACCCACCTCTCTCATGGCTGCTTTCCCTCCTATGATGTCCCAGTGCTGGATTATTTACCATGGGTGTGAGAACATGATGACAAGCAGACACTGAGACATTCCCAGCTGGAATTCTTGTGCTCAGTGATCCTTTCTAGTGTATAGACAAGCTCTGCCTGCCAGCATCAGGCCCCTGTGTGCCTCCTTGCCAGAGCAGAGCTGGGCAGGTGTCAGGTTGGGCTGATATTCGGTCAGAGAATGATTCAGACTCTCTGTGTAGGAGACTCGTGTCCCTCAGCCTCTCCTTGTGTGTCATCATACGTGCAATTCCTCAGGGAGGGCAACTGCAAGAGCCAGGTTATTGGGAGACAATCTGTGCTGCTGAGTCATGGAGCTGTGTGCTCTCACTGCCAGGGAAGGGGGAGAAGCCTCCCCACACACAGCCATGGAGGGAACCCTCTGGAGTCACCACTGTAGAGGGTTTGAATGTGGTGGTGGGGTCAGACATGGGTGTGGAGCAGCACAAGGTGCCAATGCCCCCCTGACCTCCTTTCTTCCTCCACAGGTCGGACAGTTCCTTTAATTTCATGGCCTTTTTCTTCATCTTTGGGGCGCAGTTCCTCCTCACGGTGCTGCAGGCGATCGGCATCTCTGGATGGGGAGCGTGGTAAGTGGGAATGTCCCAGCAGGCCCAGGAGCTCTGGGCTGTGGCTGCTTCCATGGGCTTGGAGAGACTGATGGGAGCCTGTACCAGGTGGAGAGGAGGAAGCTTTCTGATTTCCCCAGTGGCATAGCTGTATCTGCTCTTGGGGTGCACAGTTCGGGTTTCATTGCTGTGTTGGGCAGAAATCAAGGCCAAGTTGGATGGGACTTGGAGCAGCTTGGTCTAGTGGAAGGTGTCCCTGCCCATGTGGTCTGGCTGGGTTTTAAGGTCCCTTCCAACCCAGATAATTCTATGATCTTCACCTGGTTGCTCTTTGTAGCCTCTTCCCTCAGTGTCCATTTCTTTTACGGTGTAGCAGCCTGTGTCAGGCTCAGCATTGCCCTCAGTGCTGGCAGCACACGGTGAGCTGAGTGTGGTGACTCATTGCTGGCCTATGAGAAGTACTGTGAGAGTTCTGAAATAAATGGGAGCTTGTTAGTGTCTGTCCCTGGTTGTGTTATAATTGTTTGGCATTTTAACTTCCTGTCTATAGAGACTTGAGAGCAATTCCTGCTGAAACTACAAGTAATGGAAAGTCTTAGCACTCCATTTAGCTCTGGTTTCAGAATTGCTGATGCCTCACCTGGTTTTTGCCAGAAAAGGAATGGAGATGGAGTGTAAATGACAGGACTCTGTTGTTCCCTGATCCCAGTTCTGGTCTCTAGATGCACAACAAAAGCACCTTGAGAATATGTCTTCTATTCCCAAAATCCATGCAGCTGGCTGTCCCTTAAAGCTCTCAGACTGGATTAGTGAGGGATGCTGACAAGTGAGTGTTGAGATCTTGGGGAAATACCTGCATTGAATTCTGTCAGTTGTTTTCATTGTTCCTTTCATTTTCAATAGCTTAAAAGCTGCCTTGTAATGTCTGGGTTACGAATCACAGAAACAGAGAACACTTTGGGTTGAAAAGGACCTTAAATCCCATCCCATTCCACCCCCTGCCATGGCAGGGACACCTTCCACTGTCCCAGGCTGCTCCAAGCCCCGTCCAACCTGACCTTGGACACTTCCAGAGATCCAGGGGCAGCCACAGCTGCTCTGGGCAACCTCTGTCGGGGCCTTATAAGCACATAAACAGTTTGTCTAATAACAAGGACACTTTGAAAAGCAGATTATAATGCTATTGTGTCTCTTTTTCTGTTTCTTCCAGTGGATGGTTGGCAGCCGTCACCTTCTTCAGGACCAGCGTGGCAGCTGCTGTGTTCATGCTGTTCCCTGCCGTCATGTTCACGATGTCAGCAGTTGCAATGCTCATCTGCATTATAAGGGTAGGTTCTGCTAGTGGAAGATGTCCCTGCCCATGGCAGGGGAGCACAATGAGATGAGTTTTAAGGTTCCTTCCAGCCCAAGCCATTCTGAGATTCTGGGATTCTTCAGATCTCTCTCTGCCTTGGAGAATCCCTGCTGTGTATCACAGTAATGTGAAGAGGCAGCTCAGCAGCCACCACAAGCCATCACTGCTTTGAAAGGTTGCACAATGCAGTCAGTTGATGTCTCTCAGAGTTTCTGGAGGACAAATCTAGACAGCACAAGACAGCTCAGGCTGGAAATTGTCACGGTGTCATGTGGTGATGTTGCTTTGTGTCATGCAAAGCAAGCTTCATGTGGAGGAACCTGAGGCTCTGTGAAGGGGAGAGGTTTGGATTGGATATTAGGAAACATTTATTTTCACAGAAAGGATTGTAAAATGTTGGAACAGGCTGCCCAGGGTGGTGGTGGAATCATCATCCTTGGGAGTGTTCAGAAAATGTGTGGATGTAGCCCCTGGGGACATGGGTTAGTGGTGACCATGGTGGTGGAGCTGGGCTGATGGTTGGACTTGGTGGTCTTGGAGGTCTTTTCCAGCCTCAGCAATCCTGTGATTCCATGATTTGTTGTTCCTTGGGATGGTCAGTGGTGAAGCACCTGCAGTGGGGACCAGGTGGCAGGGTGGGAACTGGGTCTCTGCAGGAGCAAGGATTTGTAGTAGGACTCTCTGGAAAGCTTTGACAGGCAGGGAAAATGTCAGAACCCAAGACATCCCTCTGGATGCCCTGGATAGCTCAGAATCCTGGCAGGGGCTCAGAGACCCTGGCAGGAAGCCAGAGACACTTGGGAATTCGATCTCAACCCATGGAGCAAATTACCAACGTTATATGATGAATTACAAGTCACAAAAGTTTAAGTAACATAACAGTAGTTGTCACAGGGTGAAAGGTGAAATTTTGAAGAATTTGACTATGGGGGTCTAAGGGACAAAATGGAAGAATTTAGGCGTTGTCCTCTCCTTCTTCCTTGTTCTTCCTAGCCTCCATCTTCTTGGTGATGGTGGCACTTTGGGACTGGTGTAGAGTAAAAAGTCACTGTCTGACATAGGTGATAGCTATTAGAACATAACTGTAAATATCAAATACGTAGTTTATAGTATAAAAGACAACACCAGCCCTGTGGGAGGGCAGTGTGCCTCAGACTGACCTGCAAAACAGACCTCAGCAAGCCAGACAGAAAATGTGTTAGATAAGAAATAATAAACAACCTCGAGAAGGACAGACGAAGACTTCTGACTTCTTCTTCGACAGCTGGGTTGTGGAAGAGAGACTTTTTAACACTCCTTGGGATCACCTTGACCAAAGAGGATCCCGAGAGGAAAACAGAAGCTCTGTGGCAGCAGTGGTGTTGGACTCTGTGTTGGAGAGGTTTCAACCCCTGGCCTGGGCTGGCTGCCTTGCTGTGGGATCCCCCACCTGAATGGTGGGCATGCTGCTGGAATGTGTTCAAGTTTTGGGTTGATTTTCTCCGTCTGCACCTCTGTTCCCTGCATTACTGTATTTCTTGTGCTTTGTTCCTCGAAAATGCAGCTCTTCATAGAGACAGGAACAAATCCTGTTGCCAAGTGGCTCTGCAGGGGCTCAGCTCTGGGCTCCTGGTGCTGACTCTCCTCTTGTCCTCCCTTTTATCCCTTAGGTACATAAAATTTACCGAGGGGCTGGTGGAAGCTTCCAGAAGGCTCAAGATGAGTGGAACAGCGGCGCATGGAGGAACCCTCCCAGCAGGGAGGCCCAGTACAGCAATTTTTCTGGGAACAGCCTGCCAGAGTATCCCACAGTGCCCAACTACCCCTCTGCAAACCAATGGCCTTAAGCAGCAACAGCTGCAAACTGCCTGGAGTCTCTCCTTTTTGGTCTTTTTATTCTTGTTCTTGGAAAAGATCATTTGCATTCCCTCCCAAGCACCCCACTCATCTCGAGGACCTTTCTGGTTCTTGTCTCCTGATCCCTGAGGAATATCCATGCTCTCAGCCCTTCCCACCTCCACTGCACTGCACGGCCATGGCAGAAAGCTTTTTGTTTGCCTTGAGTCACCAGTATTTGCCTCGTTGCAGACTAAGAACAAACCCTTCGCTGCCCTTGCTTGAGGGAATCCTCTCCTGACCATCCCTGGAAAAGGCTCAGCTTCCCCACGATGGCAGCACTCCCACAGCTGCTCCTGCCCCTGCTCCTGCTCAGCTTCCATGGAATGCCCAGCACAGCATCACGCCATCTGTAGCAAAAGCAATCAGAGCATTAGTAGCGACTGGTGTTTACTCTCCTGGATGAATAATGTGGAATTTTTCACTCTAAGGGAAATGTAGCACTTAAATTATTTGGTACTAGTGACACTGAAGTGATTTGTGAAAGCTCCACCCTCCGTGGGAGGATCCCTGCAGGTAACAGAGGTGCCCTGGGTGAGTCCTCGGATGGGAAGTCCCCACAATCCTCCTTTGCCTGCTCAGACTGTTGTGATGCTACAGCTCTTGCTTTCCCTTTTTGCTGCCAAAACCTCTTGCTGGATCTGTGTGTTCCAAAGGTACGGATTCATCTCCTTAGGTTCATGATTTCTCTGTAAAGCCTGAATCAAAACCCAGTGGAAACCAGTGCAGAGCTGACACTGGGCCTTGGTGATGTTCACCCTGGTACAGGGACTCAGCACGAGATTTCCCCACCATGTAACTTCCAGCCAGGTTTTGTGCTGGATGCAAGATAATGATTGATCTCAGTGCTGGAGCCCCAGTGTGGTTTGGAAATGCTTCTGTTACAATGAATAGTTTAATTCTGCCTTCTGGTGTAGCTGACCTCCAGATGTTACAGTGGGGTCTGGGAGATCAAGGGAAGTTTGTTGGTCCTCATGGCTGCTGTTGGCTCTGTAGTTGGCAGGACTTCCATGAGAGAGAGATTCCTGCCTTTCTCCAACGATCAGCTGAAGGGAGGATGAAGCTATTGGGAGGGATTGTTTTCCCTGAGATTATCCTCCACCTTGTCATTCATCTCCATTCTGTGCCTGAGCCATCCAATTCCCTGTGTCCTACAGTGATCCAGGCAGCAAAGGCTGCGGTTTCCTCTTCCCCCTCAGCCTGCTGTGAATTTTTTAAAACCTGTCCAAACTGGGAGGTCAGTTCCCAATTTTTTTATAGGGAGTGAGTGTTTCAAGTCTTTGGCTCTCAAAGTTTTGGCCAATGATCCAGAGTGCTCCATTTGGGAGACCTAGGAGGGGTTGGGCACCCTGGGGATCAGACCCAGAGCCTGCTGCCTTGGCAGGCTGTTGATGGGGTTATTCCAAATTCCTAAATTCACACTGAGCAACTGGAAAACACAACTGGCTCCTGGAAAGGGACAGGGACATGGTCCTAGCTAGGTGGAATTGATTTGCAAGTGGTCTTTTGAAATTTTTTCTCTACATGTGCCTTATCTAATGAAATCACAGTACACAGAGGAGAGCTCCCGCTTCCCCCTCACCCCTGCAGAATTCCGTTTCCCTGTTAACTCATCCTGTGTCACGCTGTAAATAATGAGGGAAGCACAGTCTGGAATCTGCAAGACCCCTGTGTTACCAGGGCCAAAGCAAAAGCAACCCCAGATTTCCCCAAATTTCCGTTTACAGCCACACTGACCCCTGCTGCAGGAGCAGCCCTCCACTAGCTCTGGGATGTGGAATGTGCTCCCAGCACCAGGGGTTTTTCCTGGAGAGTGTGCAATGTGCTTGGGAGGACGAGCTCTTGGAGCCTTCTTATAACAGAACATGACCTGATGGCATTGTGAAGCTTTTAGGTGCCTTTGTCTAGTGTCAAATGTAATTTTAAATGTTCTTTGTCGCTTGCCATCGGAGTGATGAAAGAACTGCCTGGCGTTGACTCCCTGGAAATACGATGGATGCACCACGGGGTGAGGGCTGAAGGTGGGATTGGCCACTCCTGGGAGCCAGGACATGGTGCACCTGTGTCCCTCAGTCCTGCCCCTTGCCATCCTCTTGCCAAAATTCTTCAAAACCATTTGATACCTGCCCCATTTCAGTGTGTCAAGTTGGAGGTTTTGAAGGAACCAAGAGGAGAAGCGTTGCTGGGGGCTCCACATCCTACTTCTCTTTGGGATTTTCCCCTTGGAGAATCTGGGGGCTGTGTTGAAGCACCCACCCTCAGTCACACTGGAAATGTTTGATGCAAGGAGAGGGGGTGCCTGGGAGCCTGCCCACCGGAATGGTTGGAGCTGGACACCGAAATCACACCCTGTTAGCCTGCACTGCCTGAGATCCCTGTGGAGATCAATGCACCTCCAGGTGGGAGCTCCATCCCATCCCCTCCCTCCTCTTCAATGCCAGAAACCGTAATTCCAGAAAGTCCAACACGCTGCCTGAACAAATGGCTTAATTTTTTTCTTTTTTTTTTTGGACTCCTCTATATGTTTTTAAATGTTTACATTAGATTTCTAAAAGTTCTTAACACCATTAACCCGGCCCTGGCTCCTGGTGTGGTTGGGCGTCACGTGGCGTGTCTGTGTGTGATGTTTCGTGTCACCTGTGGAGCTCTGGGTTTTGTTTGTGTTTTTCTCCTGATCACAAGACAATAAATGCTCATCCTGTGCTTGATGAGGAGAACTGGCCGCATCAGAGAAGTGTCTGTTCCTAGGTAACCGGAGTTATCTGGCAGAGGGAAATGGCAAAATCTCTATGTTCCTCCAAAGTCTCCCACTGCATGTTGTTTTCTCTGTGAAAGAACAGCACATTGATGGATGAGGCTCATCCTCTGTGCTGGGGACTGGTGTGAGTGGCTTGTTGTGGTTGTGCTCTCAGAGATGCAGCTTTGACCAAAGGGGCTGCCATTGTTCCCATCTGCTAACAATGGGACTGGGAGAGCAGAGGTGTGGAGAAAGTCCCATCTCCCAAGCACTGGGGTCATTTTTGTGGCCTTTCCATAGTGCAGAGAGCCCCTGGCAGTGCTGGTGTCTGCTTTCCCCAGTTATTGCCTGGAAGGATACTCTTACCCCTGGAGTAAATAGGCTTGGACAGCGAAGGTGACTTGAATCCCTTTAGCACAGCTGAATTTATTGCCCAAAATGTTCTTCAAAAGCTATCACAGAATCCCAGAATATTTGAGTTGGAAGGGACCTCAAAGCCCATCCAGTGCCACCCCTGCCATGGCAGGGACACTTTCCACTGTCCCAGGCTGCTCCCAGCCCTGTCCAGCCTGGCCTTGGGCACTGCCAGGGATCCAGGGGCAGCCACAGTTGCTCTGGGCACCCTGTGCCAGGGCCTGCCCACCCTGCCAGGGAACAATTCCTGCCCAAGATCCCATCCAGCCCTGCCCTCTGGCAGTGGCAGCCATTCCCTGTGTCCTGTCCCTGCAGGCCTTGTCCCCAGTCCCTCTCCAGCTCTCCTGGAGCCCCTTCAGGCCCTGCAAGGGGCTCTGAGCTCTCCCTGGAGCCTTCTCTTGTCCAGGTGAGCACCCCCAGCTCTGCCAGCCTGGCTCCAGAGCAGAGGTGCTCCAGCCTTGGCAGCATCTCCGTGGCCTCCTCTGGACTCATTCCCACAGGTCCATGTCCTTCCTGTGTGGGGGCCCTAGAGCTGGACACAACACTCCAGGTGGGAGTATGGAAATCACCATATTGTGGTTTCATACCCCAGTTCCACTCCATGGCAGATATTTAATCCTAGAAGAGCCATTTCCCTCACAGCTGTTGATGTGACATCTGCTGATCCCAGTGTCTTCCCTGTCTCCAAAGCCCTGTGCCAGGCTCCCCCTGCCTGGCCCTCACCATCCTTCTCTCTCTGACAGTGGTTCCCTACAGCTGCTGCTGATGTGTTGAGCATGAGGATGAATTGGATTTCCCTCAAATTCTTGCTCCAGGGCCTCAAAATCTGAGCATGAGGCACATTTTAAGCTCCTGCTCCAGCTGTTGCTCGAGCAGGACCTTGGCACTTGGAATGAGGGGATTTTTGCCTCTACTGCAGGAGGACCGGGCAGGATTTGTCAGGAATGGGGGTGCTTGTACAGCCAAGCTCAGCCCACCACCCTGAGGAGCTCCCAAAAAGCTCTGGATTGCTGGCATCAGGGTGTGAGGGGCACTGTGAGTGCCTGGCTTTTCCTTTCTCTGGTTTTTGCTGTGTTTCTGTCACTCTGCAGTTCCAGCTGGGAAGGTGCTGCCACCCACCCTGGAGCAGCTCATTCCTCGTTCCTCATGCAGTCACAGTGGTCCCTTTGTGTTGTCTGCTTGTGAATGAGCCCAAACTGTCTGGTGCCCACAGGAGAGGGCCAGGGCTCCTGGCTGGATGATTTCCCAACAGAAATTCCCTGGATTTTCTTGCTCCCCGTGCTGGTTCCGTGGCATGAGCTGCTCGTGTCTCTGCAGGCCTTTGGCACACCGTGTGCTCACCGCTGGAGATCTGCCTTGAAATAAAATCCAAACTCCTTTCTTCCCCGCTCTCCTGCTCCAGAGGGTGGTTCAATTCTCCAGCCAAATGCCTGAACAACTTGTTAGTTCTCAAAGCATATGAAATCACCACAAAATTGCAGAATTGGGGGGTGGGATGGGGCAGATAGGAAAGGGAGGGTTCCAGGGGGATTTTATCCTCTCCAGGAGTGATTTTATCTTCCTCAGGGGTGATTTTATCCTCTCAAGGGGTGATTTTATTCTCCCAGGGGGGTGATTTTATCCTCTCAAGGGGTGATTTTGTCCTCTCCAGGGGCAGGATGTGTCACAGCACCTCAGCACCTTCCTGAGCCAGGCCACAACACAGGAACAGGAGGGGAGCAGCTGGAATTCACGCGTTCAGAATTTTCCTGATGCTCTAAAATAAGCTTTTTTTGGAGGAGCAAACACCCACAGGGAAAAGTCCTCCAGCCAAACGTTGTGGGGAGAGCTTTTCCCTGGAACATTTCTGTGACAGGAGAAGAACCAACTCAAGCAGTTGGAAATGCTGAAATGGGTACTTGGGCTGATGCTGATTGTCCTCCAAACCCACACAAATTCACAGTATTGCCTGAAAATACTTTTGGGGTGTACCTGCTCCATGCTGTGGTGAAGATGTGACCAGCAGGGTTGTGCAGGGGTGTCCCCTCCCTCCAGCCTTACCCTGACAGCCTCAAACTTGGTTGAGAAAAAAAGGGGTGAGAAGGAAATGATCCTCTGGCTGTGCCCTCCTTCGCTGAGGGGGTACTGGGATGGAGTGTTTGTCCCCAGGTGAGCCATCAGGAGAAAATGAAAGGCTTCAGGAGGTGGCAGTGGGGTCTGTGTCCTGCTCAGCACACCTCACAGCAGGTGATGTCAAAAAAAAAAAAAATCTCGAAATTAAGCAAATCTCCAATTAGCAAACCAAAACCACACAAAATTAGTATTTCTGCCCCGTTCAAACTAAAACCTCCACGCTGTCCCAACAGATCCCACAGTCCTGGAGCTCTGTTCCCTGCAAGGCAGTGCCTCTGTTTCCCTCAGAGTGGCTTTGCTCGGGGCTGATGTCCCCAAAAAGGTGACAATGCCTGCAAAATCCCACCCTGACCTCCCTGTGTCCCCACTGGTGGGGTGCCACAGCTGTGCCCCCTCTGCAGCCCCCCAGTCCCTGTCCCGAGGCTGCCCCAGAGGGCCTGGAGTGTGGATGGATGTGGGGATGAGGGAACTGTGCCCCAAAGAGGGGCTGTACCCAAACATGGGGGCTGCACCCCAAAACAGGGCTGTGCCCCAAAACAGGGCTGTACCTCAAAACAGGGGCTTTACCCCAAAACAGGGATGTACCTCAAAAGAGGAACTGTACCCCAAAACAGGGCTGTACCTCAAAACAGGGGCTTTACCCCAAAACAGGGATGTACCTCAAAAGAGGAACTGTACCCCAAAACAGGGCTGTACCCCAAAAGAGGAGCTTTACCCCAAACCAGGGCTGTACCCCGGTGCGGGGCTCACTCACACATTAGGGCCTGTCCCCTATAACTGGGTCCATACCCCCCGTGCTGTTCCCTGCAACAGGCCCGTGCCCCACCCGGAGGCCGGTGGCATCCATATCGCGACAGCAGCGCGATAACCCACACCGGAGCCACATCCATCAGTGGGGTCGGACCCTAGAGCACCCCCTAGAGCGCGGTGTGCTCCCTGTGTGCGAGCCGCTCCCTCCAGCCCGCAGGGCGCTGAGGCAGCGCGGGCCCTGTCGCGATAGCGGCGCCTGTCCCGACAGCGGCGCCAGGCAGCGCGGGGTTAACCGGAGCTGCCGTAAAGCGCGCGGCGCTGCCGCAAAGCCGCGCCGCCGCCTGCCGGCCGCTATTCCCGAACGCGCCCTACGCCAGCGCCGCTGCGCCGCCACCTCGCGCCCGCTGCGCTTGCGCCGCGCTCCGCCCCGCGGCCCGTATTCACGAAGCGCGGTTGCGCCGCTGGCGCGCAGACGCGCGCGGGAGCGGCGCGGGCCGTACGCCGTTGGCGCAGCGCGGGCCGTACGCCGTTGGCGCAGCGGCGGAGGGGAGGCGAGCGGGGCCGGGCCGGGGGCGCCGCCATGGGGGAGCGGCCGCGGGGCAGCGGCGCCGCCGCCCGGCGCTGAGGGACCGCCGAGGTAACACCGGGGGAGCACCGGGGGACGGCGGGGGCCCTGCGGCCTCGGCTCTGCTCGGCGGGCCGGGGGAGAGTGGGGGGCTGTGGGGGTCACGTTGGGATCGGGGGCTGGGGGCGGCTTTGGGGTCGCGCTGGGGTCAGGCCGGGCCGGGGTGTGAGGGCCCAGGGCCGCCTCGCCCCGTCCCCTCCCGGCCGTGCCTGTTTTGTGGCCCCGGGGAAGGGGTGCGAGCCCCCCGGTGCCCCGAGGCCGGGCGGGCGGCGGGGATGGGGTCGGATGGTCCCCGCCGTGTCCCCTCGGCCCGCACCCTGCCCCAGCCTCGCAGGATGTTGGCTCCTTTGTATGTGGCTTTCCTCCCTCCAGAGGGGTTGGGAAGTGTTTATTTGGGGAAAGGACCGTGCTGAACCTGGTATTTAAAACGGCTTTTTTTCCTTCAGCGAAGCGGGTGAGGATGAATGTGAGAAAAGGGAAAAGTGGCCTCCCCCTCCTGCCCCCAGCAGACAGGAGCCGACTTGAGCTGTTCTGAGGTTTGCAAATGAGGAGCGGCTCTGCCGGGGAGGCCCGTGGCTCCTGTCGCTGGCTGGCAGGAGGGAGCTGGGTCTGCATCTCAGGGAGCAAACAACGGGAAGTTGTGGGGATGGTCAGGAAGGTGCCTTTTCTTTTGTGTGCCGGGCAACACGAAGACTTGCCGTGTTTGATGTATTTTAAAGTTAAAAAGCAAAGTTTCACAAACCCCTTTTGAGTTGCCATGATATCAGTCCGTTCCAAACAGTTCAAGTTAGCCTGGACCCGGGTTGAAAGGTTTGTAAAACCTTTGGAAGTTGCCTCCTTAACTGATCTATTTGTTTTCCTTCCACACAACAAGTGGTTGGAAGTGTGGAAGTGCATTCTGAGGGGTGTGTGAGTTCACCTGCCAGGCAGGCTGCCCTGTCAGGCTGCCACACACAGTGTGCCCCCATCTCCCCACGGCCAGCACACAGGTTTAAAAATTGGGCCTTATGTAACAGATTGGAGCAAACGTTTGGTGTTTGCCAGTGGTCTGACAAAGAATTGCTGCAAATTAGGGCAGG